ACTTGTCGATACACGCATCCAAGCCCAAAAAAAAGTTCCGTCGTTCTGGCTGCTTGCTTAGCCGATGAGTCACAGCCCACGGAGAGGCAGCAACACCAACACTCGCCCAGAGGAAGTCAGGCAACAAAATGCCTAGCAACCTCTGGCGCTTAGATGGATAAGGCACTCTCAGCTCACATCTATCCACACTGCCTCACACCCTCCTGAGAGCAAGCACGAGGGAGAAGAGAGCCGGGTCTCTTCTAAGCAGTCTCCCAGAGGACGGCGTATATGCCTTCAGGCTACATTTCAGCATTTCTCCTCCCCAAATTCCTTGGCAAAGCAGATCTGCTCCCCTCAGCCCTCCGCTGGTTTCCTGCACGCCGCAAGAGATCAATCAAACGGCAGGTGCCAACCTGGCCTGCGACGCCGGCAGGCCTAAACGGGGAAACAATTCGTTACCCACACACCGAACAGCTCTGCAACCCCTCTGCGCATAGGTGCTTATGACGGAGTGCCCTGGGAACTGTTATATTAAAGTCTATTTTACATTACACTTCACACAGCCATTAAAATAAACTCTGCTTGTTTCGTCATTCTAAACACCATCCTAAACCACCTCTGCACTCCTCCTTTGTTATATCCCAAATTCTTTCTGGTCTCGGCAACTCACGGTGTTTATTCACTAATTAGCAATACGTACAATAACGAGACAAACAGAGAATTGCTCTGGGACACTGGAGACCTGGGTGTTATTTTCCCTCTGCCACTGGCCAGCTTGGTGACCTGACCAAATCATCCTCTCTGCTTCAAATTTCCTACCAGGGAGAGACTGACATTTCTTTCACCAAGTGCTTTGTGGTCTGTCAATAACACGCACACTGGTAACAGCCAGGAGCTGCTGGGAAAGAGACGATCCCCTGGCTGGACACAATTCTCCCCTCTCTGTGTTATGGTATAGCATCTAGGGTCCCAAATTAAAATCAGATCCCTGTTGTAGACACAGCACCTGCAGATAATTAGTGGGGATTCAGGAGAGCACGTTTTTCAAAGGTTCCCTTTTGCAGGTCCACAGCTGAGGGTCACCTCTCTGCTCCACGCTGCCAGGGTCTGCCCTGATATGAAACGTGCCTGGAGTGGCCGCAGGCTCTGGAAAACTGCAGGTACGCTGGCAAGCCCCCACCTCTGCAGAGCATCCTGCACGCCCAGCACCCCCACGTTACAGCTGACGTGCAGTATGTTTTCAGCAGGCTATCAAAATTCACATAATCTATCCTGCAACCTTGCTTTAAGGTGTTCTTTGGTGAAGCCACAAATGCCGCTGCAGGATGATCAAGGCAGAAGAACAACCTGCCAAGCTCTCATTCGCCAGAGCCAAGCCTGTAAAGCACCAGCTGCAGGTCTGAGTGAAACCCTCCTCTTACGAGATGCGCCGTGCAGAGCAGCCAGGCCTCACGCAAACCTCCCAAGGCCCACTCCAGCCTCAAGCAAAGTCACAGACAGCTTATCTACTGCAGACCCACACAGGTAAAGTGGGCTATTCTTCAGCTTGAACCTGCAATTTTAGGAGAACTGGCCATTTCAAAACTGGGGCAGCCAGTCAGAAGGCCACCAAGGCTAGTGGAGAGATGAAGCCTCCAGAATATGACTATTAAGATGCTCCCCGCTTTGCACACTAAGCGAGCTCAAGCTTTCCTCGCGACAGGACACAGCGCACAGTCTAGCTCCCTTATATCTGCCCACACTCAAGAAACCATCAATGCTGTAAGCTAGGGTCCTTCTATATGAATGAAACAGGGCACTTTGAAAGGATTCTTATGAGAGTTTTTTTCACTTTTGGTTTCCTCAGCCTGTTCAGAATTCCTTTTTTGAAAGTAGAAGGGAAAAACAAAAACAAAAAACAAAAAAACAAAAAAGCTCTCTCCCTCTCAGATCTATCTATCTCTCTTTGACAAATAGTGATTTCATTTTTCTTCCTGTCCAGGATTTTTTTCAGTTGTGTTTTTTTTTTTGTTTGTTTGTTTTCTTTTAAACTGAGCCCAAGCCAACGTGGCAAAAGGCTCTTTCCATATGTCCTTATTTGTCAAACATGCCATCACTGCACCCTCACCAGCATTCTGGGAATAAGCTTTTGCCTTTGCTGGCTGATTTCAGCCAAAGGGGAACTTCCCAACAGATCTCTCCCCCAGCTCCAACATGCTGCTTTTTAAAATAAACACTTCCTTTTCTTTCTTTCTTTCCCTTTTTTTCAAATAATTACAGTCAATAAAAAAAGAACTTAAATTTCCTTCTCCTGTCCTCCCCAAACCTGCTGTGAATCTGAGCATGATGGACCTGGATGAGAAAACAGAAACTACAAGAAAATGCTAGATCTATTGCAAAGGTATTTCATGGCCCAATCTTCGATTTCAATCGGAGCGTAGGCATCTGAAGGGAAGTTGGATACTAAAGTACTTTTTTGGATCTGATCCTAAGTGGCCGGTTTCATTGTCCAAATAGAGATCCACAGATAAATAGGCCTATGAAAACTGAGCATTATTATTTTAACTGCTAATCCATAAGCTACTACTTAGATTGTAATAATCTGTTTAGCTTTTAGTCGTTTGCTAACAGTAATGCATGACATGATAATAAGCTAAACATTTCTATGTTGCTATCTTCATCAACTTAACACCTAGCATAAAAAGCTTTACCTGGGACCACAGTGCACATATTTCAAAAGTTGTCATCAGTTTGAAACGCACTACCATCCGGAGGGAATTTTCTGTTTCAAAGAGATTGATTTGCCGGAACAGATGAATTTCAAACTCTGGAGCAAATTCAAAGGGCTTGCACTGAACAGGGTGTTGTACAAGGCTGTAGAGGCAGAACTGCTCCAAGACAGCAGCCTCTGATCTGCTTCACATTCAGGAATGGGATCTCCTGTGCCAGCATTTGCATTGAACAAAGGGGAAACTGAGGCACAGAAACAAAGCAACCAGCCTGCTCTGTGTCTGCTACATAGAGTAAATCTGAATGTGGTGATAAGCAGGAGTGCTGGGATGCAACTCCAAGGCTTGCTTTCTTCAGAATAAGCCACCACGCAAAGAAATCTCGCTCTAACCAGACGCCTGCCAAAACCAATGCTGTTAACACTGCTCCAGCCCTGGCGCTCCAAAGCTAGAGAAAAAGGGCGTGACAAATAGCAATTTCATGAGCTCAGCAGGGAAGAGCCAGCCCGTCTGGTGGTTCTACCAACAGGCATGTTTCAGTGAAAGCCCAAAGCAGCTGAGGCAAATCTTTGGACAGTTGCAGGAACGAGGGAGACATGAGCATCAGGAGATAAGAGGAAGTCGAGCAGAGCCATTGCAATAAATACAGTAAAGCCACCTTCTTGGGCACCCCAGGAACCTCCCCAGGCTGTGGGCTGACCCCAGAGAAGCATCTGAGGCAACATGGACCTTTCATGCCTGCCAGGCTTCTGACAAAGGGAACCATGCCTGCAATTGCAGAGCTTGGTCCCTAGCCAGAAGCCCGTTGCTATGTCACTTCCCAACTCAGTCTGAGCCCTGCTCCCAAGAGGTCCACTCATCTTGGAAAGATAAGAGACAGAACAAAACTTGCTGAGGAATTACTTCATTCCCTCAAGGCTGGGAAAAGCCATGCTCCTCAGTGGGCTAATGTCCCTGATGATTGCAGCCTTTTCCAGGCAACAAAGAACATGATCTTCATTAACCCCTTCCCTCTCAAAGACTGCTTCAATTGCCTAACCCATTGCAGGAACGTGATTAGACAGACACTGTGATAGCATCTGAACATCCCACAATAGGCAAGAGACCTCCATAGGGGAGGGAAACGTTACTTCCCTTTTACAGAGGCATAAAGTAGGTAATTTACTCTGGAGTTTGGCAGTGCTAGGAACTGAAGTCTCTTCAGTCCTGTCTAATGTTTATCCACTAGGCTGTTCTCAGGCTTATCTTGATCTAGGGATACAGGACTACCGCAACCTTCCTGGGTCACCCAGGGCAGCCTCATGTGACTCCGAACACCTGGCTATATAAGCCTGATCAACTTTAAACCTAGCTTATTGCTTTGCTCTCAGTACTCCTTTCACAAGGCTGTTCCAGACCTGCAAATCCCTGGTGGTTAGAAACTTTCTAATTACCAGCCTAAGGGCATTCCCGGCAAGTTCACCCCCTCCCACTCCTGCACCTACACTCACCTTGAGCTGAAATACTGCTTCTGCCTCCCTGATGTTTATTCCCCAGATGCATTTAAAGTTTGCAACTGTACCCCCTCTCAGCCTCCCTTTTGCTCAGCCAACAAACCAAACTCTTCTAGTCTCCTCCAGCAAGATCAGTTCCCCACTCCTTGATCATCTTGACAGCCTGTCCCTGCTGTCACTGCAGTCTGAATTCATCTTTCCTGAATGTGACCGACCTAATAAAACAATAAACTGCATTCCAGGTGAGCCAGCAATTTCTGCACAAAGGTGTTAATACTTCCCTGTCCACAGAGTGAATGCCATTGCCTGATGCACCTCAGAAGTCGCAATTTCATCCAGATGGCAAGTCTAGAGGATCCAGTCCGGCAAAAAGTGGGTGGGTGAAAAGGGTCTCAGTGACATCGCTGGAGCCTGAGCCAGGGTTTATTTACCTCACTTAATTTTAGGCATTTAAGTAAAACACTTTTAGGATTAGATTACTGCCCTAAGGTCTCTCCACAGTCAGTGGAAGGAGATGGGCCTTCCAGAAAGTAATTCATTCTGGGAAGGTTTCACTCCCATCCACTATCACATGAACATAAGGCAATTAGTCCTCTAATTCAAGCCGGAGGGGAAAAATCCTTTAATAGCCCAGCAAGTTCTGAACGGAAATACTCCCCTGCCTGTGAAACACAGATTCCTAAGGCGGACTTGGGTGTTCATGACACATATCTCAAACTGCAGTACTTTGCCACCTCGTTTGAGGAACATCCATTTATCTCTACACATCGCTTTAGAATAGTTCTGCACTAACAACAAAACTCTAGTCTTTTCTTACCTGCACGTTGAAAGAAACATCATCCAGAGGGGGCGGTGGGGGGAAGGCACTGGGTGGTGCAGACATATTCCCAAGGTCATCAACAGGAGGTGGAGGTGGAGGAAGGAAATCCCCTAGGAGAGATAATCAAGAGAGCTTAGACTCACAGCAGAGCACCAGCATTTTCCCACTTCATTTTAGTCCCTGGGCCACTAGGGTCACTGCCTCTGAGAGAAAAAGCAGATATTTACAAAGAGACGAGAGGGATGAGCTGAGTAGTTGGAGCCTGCGTCCTAGCATGAACTGTGCTATATTCCCAGCTCTGCCACTGCTTCCTAGTACAGGAGTTAACACATCGTTTAACCATTGAATGCTTAGCTGCACTCATTCTTCTCCTCAAGATGGCTACAACAGCTTGTTAATATTTGTAAGTTTTTTAGAGGTCCTCACATTGAGCAACAAAAGGTGACTTGTTATGCAGACTGAAGGGAGCAACAAGTCATTCCAAACCCCAAAGCCTATGTCTCATTCAAACCTGCCTCAGGGGGCTACAAAACTTGCAATAATGAATGCCCTGAGTCCAGCCTTGCCATGAATCTCATCCAGTTCATTCCCATTTGTTGCCAAATTATGCCAGCTCTTTTGACAACTATAAAGACAGTATTAGATGCTACCCAAAAGCAAGGGCATCCAGTTGGAGAGGACGTTTGGAAGGCTGGCACTGCAGCTCCAGTCTTTGGGGCCAGGACTCAAGCAAGTCAAGCCTGTTTAATCTCCCCGTCAACACCAAGCAAGCTGCCAACTTCCTACAAGCACAGAGTGAAATCACTGCCTTGGACTCACAGGCACTGGACCCACCAGAGAAAACATCCTTTTTTATTGCCTGCTCCAGGAGCCCCCTGCCCCTTTTGGCTTTGGCAGCTTAGTAGTGAGGGTCTCTAGACCAGCTCCTCTCCCGTATCCCTGCTGCTGGAAGGGAGCCACACTCCCTGCATTTTCCTTTCCTACAGGGACTTTGTAGCTAGCCTCACGTAGGGACCTGCTGGGAAGACAGCAAGCATTTCCTCGTGACAACAGCCAAGTAAGCAACGGGCTTAAGCTCAGAAGCATCCGTGTCTTTTAACTCCGAGGACGCTTTTGAGGTGTGGCTGATGTATAAAGTATCCACACTGCAATTTGCCTTTGTCTTAAACTCCCCAAACTGCAGAGGTAAAGACAAAGCAGCATACTGGATATAAAGCAATCCAACATGGCATAGAGAGCAGAGGTCTTTCCAGAGGACTTCAGACGAGACTGCAGAATGAAGGAGAGCACAAGGGCAGAGCAGAAGGGGCTGCGGGCAGCAGGCAGGCAGGCTGGCAGGGGCACCGGAGGAGGCAAAGAGGGGAGTTCGCCATGTGCACTGCACTTGGCTCCTGGCAGGCAGCTGCCTGCAATTTGGACCGCTCTAGTTTAGTTTATTTTTATTCCCTCTTCTAAAGCTTCATGCCACAAGTGGAACTGTTTACTGCTGGCTCTCTTGCATTATCCAGGATAAGAGAAATGAATAACAATATGTATTTCACGTTTAGGAGTTATTTCTTTTGGAGGGTTTTAACCATTTCTGTGAGGAAATACGCTCTCCCTACTTGACCATCAACTTCTTAATGCAATGCCACGCTGCCTCCCAGGAAGATCCCTCCATGCCATCCCAAATTACAAACAAGCAGGCTCCGAACCTCTTGGAGAGGTGCTGAAGCAAACTGCAGCAATCTCCAGTCCGCAGACGGCCTGGGGGCAAACTCCAGCATCCCAGTGCCCCAGCCACGAGAGGGGCACAAACGGCTGCTAGGCAGCAGAAGCTGCGAGGGAGTTTCAAGCTATTTGCCTTGGGAAGCAAGATGGGTCTGCAATCCTGGAAAGCTTTTAAATTCGACTCCAAATCTGCTAAAGCCATATGCTCTCTGAAAGAGAATTTTTAGGGATCTTATTTCCCAGGAAAATCATTTATTCCCAGCTTCCCTAAAGTGAGACTGGCTAGAACTCACCAAAAAAAGAAAAAATCTGAATCCTTAAAAAAGTGTCATGCTAAACACAGATGTACCAAGACAGTTTGAAATAACACACTGAAAACCAATTTAAAACAATCATATTGATCCAACAGCTAAAATCCTATGAAACCTACTGGCTGACGATATTACAGAGTTCAGGACTGATCTATTAAAAAAAAAAAAAAGAGTACGCACAACAACTTCTGCAGTATCTGCTCTTTACCCTATAATTAATTCAATTTTTTATTTTAAATTATATGAAATATAGTGCAGAGTAAAAAGAAAAGAAGAAATATTTTGAAATGAGTATCTTAGGGTTCCGTTCTAAAAATGCCAGGATATTCTAGTGCTGTGTAATTTTTTTTTCCTTTTCTCTGAAAATGAAACTCCAGACAACCAATGCGATTTTGCAAACAAATTCAACTTCAGTGAATAAACACTTCCCAAAGAACACACTTCATATGAAGTTTTTCCAGTTAGTCCCAGCTCCAGTGCCAAAGAGTCATCTCCCTGCAAAGCACTGCACAATAGTCAAGACATGCTCCTTTTACTACAATATTTCAAAACATCAAAGTAAAATTTAGGTATAGAAGAAATTGCTTGAAAGTAGAAAAGGGGGTGAAGAGTTCGTGCATAAACACAAAGATGAAGGGGAGAAGGACAATCATTATAATAACCCAAAAGCAAACACCATTTTGCACCTCTGGAAGACGTGTTCCTCCCAAAAGAAAAAGAAGGTTGGCTAGATTTTTCAGAAAAAGAGAGAAAGATAGAAACAAAGAGAAGAACTCTTTTATAGAGTTTGGAAAAAACTCTGTCCTTCAGAGTAGGAGACAGCTGCCTTTACCACCTACTAGCACAGCTCTGCTGACTCAGTTCTCTGTGTAGGATAACGCTTTGCTCCCCAGAAGGGCGACAGGAAAGTTTCTAGCCTGGGAAGGAGAGACCAGATGCCTGATGAACTGGATGGACCTTGCAGATGTTTGGCCTTTTCCTGGTCCTCTGTGAATAGATGGACTTTTCTCCTTCACAGCTTTAGTTATTTATCCTGCCACTGCACTTTTCTCCTTTTCCCACACACAGTTATAGGACCTGATTCTGTTCCCATTGAACTCACTGGAGAAAATTGTCTTAAATGTCGCAAGGCAAGCAGTTACTGTATTGCTATTATTGACATTGCTATAAATCTCCTTTGGGTAACAGGAAATGAAGCATGCAAAGACCACAGGGCCTGTGTCCTGAACAACTTAGTTTTAGAAGGCACATGGTAGAAACAGGGCTACAGTACAGGCAGCAAAGGAGGAAAAAAGTTTAAAGAAAGTTTATGCTACCTGTAACCAGTATCTCACTACGGACTGCTCAAACACACCTTAGGATTGTTCCCTCATCCCAGAAGCCTTGCAAGCTGGGCATGTTTCCTTTGCTTGGAGTTGAGTGAACTGCCACAGGAAGCAGGGAAGTCCATGACCTTGTAGCCGGTAGCTCTGCTATCTGCTCCTGACCTTATCAAGGAGGAACTGGTCAGGCCACGAGACATCTCGGGGAAGGGACCACCTCTCCCAGTCTGCGTGGGTGCCCTGGCAGCCGCAGGGGAACTCAGACTCTAGCATTACTGTGTTCCCATTAACCATAGGCAAGTAGGAAACGTGTCTCACCCTGAAAGCTCACATCTTCTCTGGTCTTACTCAGTCCCGCTGGCACTCCAGGAATAAGGAATAAGACAGACAATAGGCTTATTAGTATTGATTACCGCTCAGAACTAAGATTGGCATTTGGGTCAAAATTCATCTGGCATCAGTCTGAACACTTGGGAGGTACTTCAGTTAGGAGTGTGATTGCTTTATGCTTCCTCCCGCCTTGCCATGCCAACATAAAAGGCACCTCCAGAAGGCAATTTACCACTTAAAGACAGGTGAAGTAATCATCTGATGGTAACTCCCTTCCCACTGGCTGGAGAGGCAGCTGGGGGCAAACACACAGGGAGTCCTACCCTGCCTCTCCGTAGGAGGGGATGCCATCTCCTCCTCACCCCTAGCCATGGCCCTTCTCCAGCTTCTTCAGTGAGAAACCTCTACTGATTGTCATAAGCTCAGAGGAGGAAATAAACATTCCTCACTGCGCCAACTGCTCTTTTCTTCTTACAGCTGCTAAGACCGTGAGTCAATTTATGAACGCGCTACGCAACGCAACAAATGCGCAAACCCAGTTACTTCGCATATGATGGAACAACATGCCGTGAAACCACAACTCTGTGTTTTTCTCTCTGTAGCCGGCTAACGCAGCGGCACACCCAGAGTGCCCGTTCCTGTGCCCTGAGCACCAGACAGAGGCAACAAGGGAGGGCAGATACTGACAGGGCTGTTAATTCCTTCTCCCAGTATTCTACAATCGAGGCATTAGAAGAAAGGAGAGAAATTCAGTCAGTCAATCACGGCTATGCTGGAAAACTATAGCAGAGCCATAAACAGAACTGACATCCCCCAGGTCCCAGGCTGGCTCTTGGCTTCATTCAAAACTGTGCCATGCAAATGCATTTGCAAGGTCTTACCACCTCCCCCTCAAAATTTCCCTCTTACACTTTCCAAAGCATTTTAAGCATTTCATTGTTATACTTTTCAAATGTGCAAATAAAGAATTGCTCAAAGTCTTAACAGACCCCTATATGAGCATGAGACTATTAAACTGAATAGAAACTCCTTGATTTTTGCCATTGGACACCTGATGCCTTCTGGGTACAAGTACAAGCTGAGATCAACTTCCTGCCTCGTGTAACAAACACTTTTCTCACGTACAGTCCAACCTTTAAATTCTTAAGCGCACTTAAGTTTTCTGCAGGGCCCTATGCCTCCAGCCTTTATTTTTGGGGAGGTATGTCTGCAAGTCAACAAACAAATTGCAACACAGTAATTGCCTCCCCCATTGACTGACATGGTTGTTTAGATAGGAAAAAGATTTGCAGCTTTGAAACTCCTAGACATGCAGAAGGTCCCGCTTGTTTAGTAAGAAGAGACCATGCAGGGGGAAAACCCTCAGAAACACAGAAAAGCAAAACATCCTATTTTTCTCTGAAACAATAACTTTACAAAATCTATCAACCAACAAAA